CTTTGTTTGGGTTTTGACTAATATATGTTTCCAAAATACTGTCTTACCCGCAAAGTCCCGTCATCTTAGACATTGCCTTGGTATCTGTCTTTCTTCTGAATGCTTCCAGTTCTTAAGAGCTCGAATCTTGCTGTTTCTGGCACAGGTCCTTGCCTTCCTGGTAGCGTTCTTCACCCTTTATGTGTAAAGAACCATTTCCCCTTGTGCCCCTTCTGTGAACCTAGAGAGCTAGGAAGTGCCTTTCAAGACCTGTGGGGAAGGATTTCAGCACCAGCAGGAAGGAAAATGTAAATTCGAATATTTTGCTTAGCATTTTTCAATGTAATGGTGTGTGTGTGTGTGGTATGTTGTGTGTCATATGTGTTGTTTGTGTTTGGTACACACACATGAGTGTTCAGGTGTTGACACCAGTTCGTGCTTATTCAGAAGCCAGAGCAGGGCCATCGTGTGTCTTTCTGTATCAGGCTCTGCCAGATTTCCTTGAGTAAGGTCTCTCACTGAACTAGAAGCCCACTGTTTAGGCTCCACTGGTCAGACAATGAGCTCCCATGATCTGCCTGTCTCTGCTGTCTAATGCTGGCATTATATGTCTGCACAGATATGCCTGGACTTTTATGTGCGTGCTGGGAATTTCAACTCAGGGCCTCAGGATTGCTGAGCAAGTGATCTTACCATCTGAGCTGTCTCCTTGACTTCTGTAATGATTCTTAAATGGATTATGACTCTTGATGTAAGATAGAAGTGTTTCATACATCTCAGGATAAATCAATCTCCGAAAATGACTTCTAATGTACTAACAACCCTTGAGGAAGATAGAGAAATGTCCTTTTATTTCTGGGATCCATTGGTTTTGAAGTACATGACTGTGAGAAACCTGGATCTCCGCAGTCCTCGAACTAGGAGCCACCCCCTCCCATTTCCCTCATTGCTGGCAGTCTTGGTTCTGAGTACACCATGATGAACAATAATTCTCCAAACCCTAGCACCTAAAACAAGATTCATGGGATCTAGGGGAAGAAGGAAATGAACCGTGCCATTGTAGATACAGTGGTGCCTTGATGACTATGTTTTCCCCCTGTGAATCGAGCTTGTGTTGCTCCGACAGAATAGACACCTGGTCTCAGTGTTGACTACAGCTCACGGGCTATGTCTGCACCAGTCATCACTGTAGCCCAAATCCAGGCTAACGATTATAGATTTTTCTTCTGAGTCACTGTAGTTGAATTCCAACCTTATTTGAGGAAGAATTCATTTTTTACATGGAACTCGAGCCTTCATGTAAGTATGAAATGTATCATTGCGAAATGTTAAACAAAACCCACTAAGTATATGAACTGTTTTGAAATCTTTGTTAAAATCAAGCATCACATTATAGCAGCTTTTACAGCACAGGGCTTTTAGCTTTAACAGGGGGAATAAAAATAGTTCTTTGCTGTTCCATATGGTTTTTATATGACTGTTTTGCTTTAAGGGTTTTCATCTGTAATTGTCTCTCCCCAACTCTGGGGATTTTCAGGAACGTTTATTTTTTTCATTTGTACACAATTTGTTCCTGCTGGTCCCGTCAGCGGGAGTCCGTAGTAAAGTCCTTTGGAGTTAGTGTCAAGGTTCCATCACCTTTCCTGTCTCTCCGGGACATCCTGTACTTTCTTTTCATCCCTTCTTAAACCAAAATAACCAGGAACAAAAGAAAAAAAATAGAACAACAACAGCAAAACCCCATTTTCTTCTTATCCGATTTTCCCTGTGACTCGTCTACCCTGCCTTCTGGACCATCGCAGAAAGGTCGGCCTCTGTGAGGTCCTTAACCTCTGGCCTTGATATAAGTGTTTGGGGAGGAAATGGGAGCTGGTGCTTTCGGTGATGTTGTAGAGATGCACACACATGATCCTTGTCACAAGAAGTGAGATGTGATGTCCAGTGAAATGCTTTAAAAATGCTTTAATGTCCCCATTGTCCTCTTGGCAGCTTTGCCTTCATTGCAGCTATAAATATTGTCCACGGCCCATGGCCTCTAGTGTTTCTTATTTATAGAGATGGTTCTTGTTTGTATTTGTTTCACTAAAATGGAAGAGTTATGTAGAAATATAAAAAGAGTGCAAGGTGGCTTGCCTCAGGAATTACCGCCGTTTAGCCAGCAGGTGCTTTGTCTGAGGACGAGCATGCACACCCTGCTATATTATTGCCGTTTTTTAAAGAGCAGAGAGATGCTTTGTCTTCAAGGAGGGAAAGGGAAAGTTGTGGTCGCTGCTTCTGTTTTCTTTACCTCAAAGCTCAGGCTGGAGTCTTCAAAGCCTTTTTAAAACTTCCAGCATTCAATTTTAATTAAAAACCACATTCAATTCTATAATCCTATCTGCCAATTCAAAAGGGAAATTCACATAAGAGAAAATTAACTTATTATTATTAAAAGTACGCTGCCTTTCTAATAGATATAATGGAGAAGCTGCTCTCCCCAGGCTCTGTGGCTATTCCTTACATAAGAATATTAGCAAATTTAATAGATTTTTTTCTTCCCTGTAAGTGATAATCAAACTTACTTTTTAAACTCATCTCATTTGACTTGGGTGATAAGGATATTTGCTCAGGAGAGAGATGCTATAGGCTCTCCATGGCTACATACCAGACCTTGAAGTCAAATGGTCTCGACTGTGTTAGGTAAAGATGAATTTCTTTTTTATTTTATCAACAATAAGAACTTCTTTACCTTGGGCTCAATTTCCATAAACTATTAGCACACAATACCCTCCGTGAGTACCATTTTATATAGGAAGGGTCGTGAGTACCATTTTGTATAGGAAGGGTCGCATGTCCTCTGTTCTTCCTCCAAGGCCTGTAGGTTTCAAGATGCTGGTTCTCATGGCTCTTGGGAGCAGCATCGGAGTCTGTTCTTGCAGTCTGGTTCCTCTACATTCCCCCAGAAAATGTAAGTTTGTTTTCGTTAGCCCCAGCAGGCAGGCGGGGTAGTCCTGCATCTGGCTGTGGGGCAGGAGCATCCTTCAATTCCGAGCCTTGTCCTAAGTCACTTGCCATGAAAAGTGGCGGGCAGCTACTGTTTGACCCTTTTCTCTTGAGTAGTATTCCCTAAACTTCTTCTGAGACAATGATGGGAAAATATCTCCGAGGATTAAGTATTTTAGAGGCACGTGACAATTTAACTTGAAAATGAACGGGAAAGCTTTGATCAGAAGAATCAAATTCTCAACACCTCTCTGCTGTCAGCGTGTTCTTGCTCTTTTCAGCAGTAATACAGCAGGGTCCAGTTATTTCTCCAGGGTATTGCCTCCTGTGCCAGAGCCTTGAATGGCAGTGTTTCTCGCTGAAATACATTTCATATTATGCTCTACACGAACACTAAAAGCTATGGATACATATGCATCATATCCATGCCATGCATGTATACATGGACAGACTATGTTAGACATGAAATACATACAGTCCATGTTATGTAACATAGGAATTAATGTTACATAGGATGCACGTGCATGATACACTTATGCATATTGGTACATCCATTCTTATGTAGAATAAATGCTATATGTGAAATAGTCTTCATGTATTCTTTCAGTTTATACATTTCCATCTTGTTTTCATATTTGTCCGTCATAAACTACTTTATTGTTTTATTCTGTTCCGATTCATTGCTTGTTTCAGTATTACCTTACAGTTATTGTGAAGTTTTATTTTGTCAGGTTTTTCTTTGATCATTTAGATGTTCCAGGGATTTCCCCCCTGGGCTCTCTGTGTGCTTAGATGCCATTAAACATCTCTTAAAGGTGTTTAAGTAAACAAGTGCTCAAAATGCATGAGTGGTTTTGTTAATGTAAGTGTAAAGTCTTGCACGATATCTACATATGAATCTCTTCATGGAACTGATTCCATGCTACATGCTTAGCAATTCCAAGTCTGTTACAAAGATGAGAAGAGTAAGCTCTCATAGGCATAGGCTTCTTCTATTGTTCCTGTCTCTCATCTGTCACAGTGCATGAAGATACATTTACAGATTGCACACTGCGATCCCAGGAGCTGGCAAGCTACTCTGACTGGGACAGTTCTGGGAAGATGAGCATCCAGCCAAACCTCAGGGCAGTGTGCCCAGGCTCTTCTTATTCTTTCTTCATTTTCTGTTTCTCACTACTTCCATCCTATGTCTCTCTTCTCTAAAGATTTTCATGTCTTACAATGAAAATACATATGTACCCAGAGAGATGAACGAGGCCTGAGAAATCTTGGAGATTTCTCGAGGCCCCCCCCCCAGGGTGAGGCAGAATGTGAAATGGGTGCTGTTTTCAGTCTGTGGTGCCCAGATTCCAGCAACAGCGGTGGCACCTGGAGAGAGCTTCTGTTCAGCACATGACTGGTCCACTCAGAGCATCTGTTTGGGTGGGTCCTGGGTAGGATCTTGAATTTTTCAATTCTAGCAAGTTCCCTGGTGAGACCAGTGCTGCCAGAGCGGGCACTCTACGTGACTGTGGTTTTCTGGGGTTTGAGTATTAATTTAATCTCAATGATTGCCTTATTGAGATGCTTATTATCAAAATAGCATTGGCATATAATAAAATGAAAATAACTATCTCCTGGTAATGATGTATCAGAACTGAAGCAGAAAGAATTGGAATTCAATGATTAAGGTAATTAAAATAAGAATTCTTTCCCAACCCAGTGGGGAAGATTCTAAATCAATGAGAATTGGGTCCATAAAAACTCAATAAATCTTGATGAAGGACCTTTGCTACCTAAGTTATACCATTTCTAGGTAAATTTTGGATCCTCATTGGGAATCAAATGCATGCATATTTATTTTAGGAGACATAATTAGATAATGGAGGCAGAAACTAAAATTTGACTGTGATGAAATGTCCTTCTATTTCATGGAAGCAGTAATGTCTACCAATGAGGTGAGCCATCCTTTTCAGCTGGGAAATCACCCTAGTTTTTCCGTAGTGTGTGTGGAGTCTAGGCCATACTCCTGATTCTGATTATTGCTTTATGTTTTCCAGCGGCTTGTGGAGGCTGCAGAAGAGGCACACCTGAAACATGAATTTGATGCTGACTTGCAGGTAACTGACTTTACTTTGAGTTAAATTGTTGGTGTGTTTCAGTGACTGGAGAGCAATGCTTTGGGAGGATGGTACCAAGTTGGCAGAGATAGCCTCCTTCTTGTTGGGAAAGAGTAGCAATCATCGATCTTGTTCTCCCAGTGGCAATTAGAGCAGATCATGTCACACACACACACATGTATACCAGATTTCGGTAAACTTTTCCTGATGTGGGGGATGAGTTATATCAGTGAACTAATGGTAATTGTTAGGGTTCGCAGTGGTAGAGTGATAGAATGGTGGATATCCAAAGCTGTATTTCCCAGCTGGAGTCTGGGTTATGAGTGACTGGAAGCCATGTCGTGATGGATTTGTCCTTGAACCGGTTGTTAAAGACAAGAACCTTACACTATGACATTAAGTCATTCATATTTATTGTAGTAGACCTCACACTCATGGCAGACTGGAAAGGATTTAGGTCTTCATAGAAAATAAATATATTAGCAAAGGCAACAAGTGAGCAGAAAGAAAAACCCACCTTTTGGGTCCCTTGAAGGTACTTAGCTGAACTATTTTTGTACCTTTACTTCACTGCAAAAAAAAAAAAAACAAACAGAAGGAGAAGTCTTACTTTTTAGGTCTGCTCTTTGCTAAAGAAACAAATCTCTCTGAGTGGTGTGTGTTCCCAATCAGGAATTTCGTGTTTATTTTGCAGTATTTTCATTTATAAGGAAAATATAAAGAGAAACACAAATCTTAAAGTCCTAAAAATGGTGTCTCTAAAGCAGCTTTGGTTTGTGCCTCTTTCTCCAGGCTGCGCTAAAATGGGGAAACGGATGCATGGGAAAACAAAGGGATTATTTGCAAATGACCGTCAAGGGTTAAGATACACTAGCTGTGAACTTCAGGCCCGCTGAAGCTGCAGGAAGAAGAGAGTTCCAGACCCCAGAGGGAATGGCTACAGGGAGATGGCATCCTCTAGAACAGTACAGTTAGTCACAGCGAGCAGACTAAGGTGGACTCCAGAGGCAAACAGACCCCTACGGGTTTACCAGGTTTTCTTCTTGTCCCATGTTGAAGACTGTAGGTTGATGTTCAGATTCCTGAGTCATTAGGCTAAGGGGGTAGGAGGAGGTTGAAGATGGGTCAGGAGGGACTAGCAGAAAATATCTAGGGCGTGAGCCGGGCGTCACTGTTAGCTATAGCACAGAACCTAAAACAGCAGGCAGAAATGTAGACAAGTGTGGGGAACCCCAGGGGGTGGGTGGAGAAGCAGCAGGAACAGTTGCCAACACTGGGGAAAGAATGGGAAGTTGGCACCTTTTTCTGACAAAATTGCAAGAGAAAGGGCCGAGTCTAGCAAAGGGACTTTGCGTATAGCAAGGAGCACCTTACATGGTGGCTTTATGGAGATCTAGAGGCCACCCACCGGTTACTGCTGTCAGCTGCATGCCCTGACTTCAGAGGAATAGAGGTCCTAGAGTAGGCTGGAGGGATTAATGTGCACCAGGAGGCACATTCCTGAGTGCAAAGATGGCAAGAGCCTGTGGAATGCAGGGCCAGTGGGGTGCTGCTGCCTTCCTGTTGGAATCCCGGTGCCTTTTCAGAGAGTTTCAGTTGGAAATAACAGACCCTCAGATCAACATAAATCTGTGGATAGTGATTAAAGGAAGCATCTGGGGCCACTGTGATGGCCCAGTGGGTAAAGGTGATGCCACCAAATCCGATAGCTTGATCTCCAGACCCCAGGTGACAGAAAGAGAGATCATTTCCTTCAGGCTGTCCTCTGACCTCCACATACACCCTATGGCATCTATGTGACTCCGACCCTACCCTCAAAGTAAAGAACGAATTCTAATACATTTCTTTCCAAAACAAAGGAAAATAACCCAGTGGTGTGCTCCAATAAATGCACAGGTGTGTAATTAGATTCATCTTTAAGCAGGGAGTAAAGTCTCTCACAGTAAAAGTTAACTAATACATATGGATGCGGCACAAATTCTAATTGGTCTTAAAAACAAAAACCCAGAGTCAGATATTAGGGGGTGAAAGCGGAAAGATCAGAGAAACAGAGCAGCCAGCTCTTAGTTCTACAAGTCCTCCGACTGAATGGATATCCTGTCTCTCTACAAGGCCTCACACCGGATGTTCCTTTCTCCTCCTGCCTATTGTTCTCGCTCTACCCAGCCATATCCCTTCCTGATGCCACCTCTCTAGTGCTGGGATTAAAGGCCTGTGACTCCCAAATACTGGAATTAAAGGTGTGAGTCACCACTGCCTGGCCGCTATGGCTAACTAGTGGCTAGCTCCACACTCTGATCTTCAGGTAAGCTTTATTGTTAGAGCACAAACAAAATATCACCACATAGAGAGGAAATAATGGAGATAAAGAATGATTGCATAAGACAGGGATCTTCAGTGGATGCTAAACTGGTGGGCAAGCCTCGAGAAAGCAAGGCATTGACAATGGCAGTATTTTAATGATGCTAAGGAAGCAGCACCTGAACTACATAGAAGCCTGCTCCAGATGTGATGACCTGGAAAGAGTCCATTATTGGGCATGTGATTAGTGACTCTCTAGTGATTCGGATCACATGTTATCCAGATGTTATCCAGAACAAAAGCCTTAGCCCCAGGTAACTATAGACTGTGGGGCACGGTGCAGAACTACTCTCTAGGCTTCTCTTTAAAAATGACAAGCTCAAGAAAGAAAACTTTGAGGGTTTTTTTTTCCAAGTTAGTAGAGATTGAGGATCCGGGACAATAGAATGGATGTGTGATTCAGAACGGGGTGTTGCGCTAGAGAGATTTGAATGCAGGCTGTGTATCGGATAGTAATAATGTATTAATGTTGACTGCTCTGGGTTTTGTGTGACCCCCTTTGCCATGGTTCTGCTTTTTCCTGGAGTTGAGATTTGGACTCACGAGTAGGGGTGCGTTTGCAGTTGGAAATCAGAGCTGTTTGGAGAATCTGGCATGCTCATCTCTGATGTTTACATTCCGTCTTATTCTGAAGTCTGTTCTCAATGAAGCTTAGGCAGGCTGGTGCTGTGGAGAGGTCAGCGGGATTGCTTGCAGGGTTTGTATTGTAGATTCTTCAGCAGCAGCGCTTAGGGTGTTCAGGGAGATGCTGAGGGAGGGGTTCTCTTTTGTAGTGTTTGAAGCTATTGTTACCTTCCCAGACTGTTCTGGGTTCCTATGGAAGCTGTAAAATGACATTCTGCAGAGGGACAGCTGAGTCTTCTAGTCAAGTGTGGTACCCTGAACACAAATGAAGCGTGGAGATCTCTCAAAAAACAACCAAAAGACACCAGGAAATCCAGCCCCTCCCTTCTGTTCTGTGAGAGGTCCTGCATGGCCTCTTCCCTCACCTTTTCTTTGTGTGAGCGGAGAAACTAGGAGAGGGCACCACTGTCACCTGAACATGAGAAGATGTTGCAATAATCTTCTGGTATTATGGAATGCCATTTGCTACCCAGACCTCAGACCTTGTTGAAATCTCAGGGGCAGAGCAAACCAGGTGCTCTTTGATTGAAGCCTGTAAAACAGAGGCCTTTGATAGCTGGGCTGCTCCGGAGCATCTGTCTGCTCAGAAGAAAGCTTCAAAGCTGCTGAAAATCTGATGCTATTGAGTGAGAGTCTATTAACAGCTGGGTGTCAGCCGGTGGCTATTACGAGGTAGCAGGCCTGAGCACCGGCTTAGAGTTTATTGCTCTGATGGTCCATTAGAGCTGATCAATTGTTAATCTGGGCACCGCTGACCTTTCTGTGACCCTGTCAGAGGATTGTTTTTATAAAAAACAAACAAAAAACAAAACAAAAAAAACCCACAAAAACAAAAACAAAAACAACAACAATAACAAATAAACAAAACAAAAATAAAACACCCAAACCTCTGCTACCATCTGCTCACTGTGTTGTAACACCAGGAAGGACCTTGTACCTCTAGTACCAGAGAGAAGTCTATTTTCATTTAGGAAAAAAATAATAACTGGTTTAGTGACATTTCCTAAACTGCAGAGTTTCAGATTTCAGAGTTCTTAGCTTCCTTGTTTCCCTGTAGGAAACGAGGTGATATTTATGCCCCGGACTCATTTTAGATAGCAGGTTTGTGACTGTGCACATTCCGAACTGTGAAAGTGAAAAGACTATTATTCGCTGGTAGACTCATTAAGAGCTGGCCCTGCCCAAATATCTTTATTATGAGGGTTCTGTGGGCCCTCTGTAAGGGGTCCTAGCTGAGCCGCTATATTGTTAGCATTTAAAGACTATGTTGAGGTTTGAAACAAAAACACAGAATCTGTTGTGTGTGTGAACAGCCTACAGACCACAGCTCTCTTGGGGATGTAGATTTGCCTGGCCTTTGTGGAATAGGTAACCTTTTTATGGCCACAAATTTTGCCCTTTGGCTTGTTCCTGTGTCCGACTGCCTGTGGGTTCTAGATTTCTCTCCTCTTTGTCTAGTCTCCATGAGTAACAATTGGTAATAACTGATGTGCAGAGACTCTTCAACCAAGACATCTTCCCTTTACAATTTTCATTTCATTTTTGTTTTCTTTTAACTTTCTTTTTATTTATTCTAGGTGTCTTTCACATCATGCGTCTCGATCCCATTCATTTCCCATCCCTGCATATCTGCCCTCTGTCCTTGCAGACCCTGCACCCCCGAGATAAAATTTAAGAGAAAGAAGAAAATAGAAAGGAAAAGAGGGGTGTGTCTGTGAAACCTCTTCATGGAAGCTGTAGTATGACATAGCGAGCCATGCAGTAAAACCCTTTTTTCCATATATCTTTACTTGCAAGTGTTCATTGCAAAGTCATTGGTCTGTTCAAGACCACTGGTTTCTACTCCGCTACTGATGCTGGGACACCTCTTGGTTGTCTGCTGTTGCTGGTGTTGTGGAGATCCTGCAGCTTTGGGTCTGCAGAAACCATCCCTTGACGCGGTCCAGCAGACCTACAGATGGGGTAGATGTTGGGGTGGGCCAACCTACAGCCTGGTTTGGGGCATGGGCAGTTGC